AATAAACTATATATATATATATATATATATATATAATCAAATATAAATGATACTAAAATAACACTGCCAATAAATAAGATAATTAAAGGTAGGTTTGAGAATCAATCTATATTATTGAGATGCATATGCAGGCACATAAATTATCTGCACTGTATATAACAGATGTCTATGTGTATACAGTAGTTGAGTCTCTAGGGTGGCAAGAGAGGTATGTATGTGTTGACAATTTGTCACAGTTCAGTGCAAAGTGACCTCGCTTTTCTTTGAGAGGCTTGAGATTTCTCTGATTAAAGTAGATTGTCTGTGTGGTGCAGAGGAAAGCTTTTACCTCCAGCTGCAACACACACACACACACACACACACTCCATCCTGGCTCATAAACACTTCCTTCTCCTCCTCTCCAACGTAAGTCAAAGCTCCTTGTAATAGCAAGCACATTGTTCTTTCCCTTCTCTGATGTGGAGGACAGGTTATGCTCTTTAAAAACGGAAAGCATACAGTGACAGGCTCCTGTGACTGGTGTGTACACACGGAGAGCCATTACAATCATCAAAGATTGTGTACTGACCCGGGCAGACCCTGGTCTCTGTGGACCGGGATGTGAAGTGGACCGGAAGGGAATGGGATTACAGTACAGTGTGCTCCTGTCGGCAGAGTAGCACAACTAGTAAGATGCACATAATACTTGTGCCTAAAGTCATGTACAAGATGCCATGGTTTACAGTAACACCTTACTGTACTGTAAAATGTTACCCATATAGCATGCTAGTATAATTAGCCCTACAATATGACTTACAATCTAAAAAAAAATAAGATGTTCAGCATATTTAAGCATACTTATGTAATCAGACTGCAATGTCATCATCATCAAGAGACAGTATGTTAACTACTGTATCTTATAGTTTACAAATTATTTTAACACGCAATATAAATGGAGTTCAATTAGGTTCTTATCTCATAATGTATCTGCCACTCACAGCTCATCGATTGATTGCATCCTGAAGTTATGAAAACACAAAGTGCTTCCTTTCTTCTTCTTGTCCTGTCTTTCTTTTATCTCTGTCTATCTCCCTCCTCATTCCCCACCCATTCCTGACAGTAGAAATATGTAGAAAGCTACTGCTCAGGAGTAAACAACCATGCTAACCATGTTAAGTTGTCTAGCAGCTGCAAATATAGGCAAATTAATTTGTGAACTAATAAGAGACTACAGGCAGGTGGATAGTGCTGGTTTGTCTGGTTTTCACTTGTAGTGACGAAGCACAACAGAAACTCACATGTAATAATGGGCTCATGCCCCACATTTATCTTAATTGCCCTGGTTTTCGTTTTCAGGACTCTTGTCGTCAGTGACTAATAATTCAGTGGTTTAAAACTGAAAGTGATATTTTGTTTTTTACATCATAAATTGTAGGCAAAAATGTACTACTTAGATTATGGTGATGATGATAAAATGTACAGTATGTATCATAAAAAAAAGGTAACTCACTAACTTCCTGACATGTTTCTTTCTTGAATATATTTGGTTAAGATCTGTATGAATGTAATTGATTAAAATACATTTTTTATTAGATTATATAATATTATAGATTTAAATTATGCGAGTAAAATTACCTTTAAATATGCTTTTGTAATTTTACAATTGGTTTGTAAATTTGTAATTGGAATTGTTTTTAAATATGAAAATGGCACACCATGCCATTTTAAATAGCTATATATATCCACTACACTTTACTGAACTGTACTATTTTTAGATTGTACAAAAAGCACTTTAATTCTCTCACTTTTCTCCCCTCAGTTGAATTTGTACATACCTACATACATGACCCCCTCTTTGGTTTTGGCAGCTGCCTCCTCCACCCCGGCCTTGGTTTTCTCGGCGGCGGCCACCACTCCCTCCTTAGCCATGGAGAATCCCTTCTTCAGCGCATCCATACTGGACCTCAGAGCTGTATGTCCTTTAACTGGAAGTGGCTGTCGTCTTATAACCAGTGGATGGAGCTGTGTGTGCTCTGACTGCCAGTGTGGTAAGTGTGTTTGCCAGAGTGTGTGTGCAGCTCCTTTGAGAGTGGGATGGGCACTCAGTGCTCAGACAGATTGGGATACCCTTAACAAGAGGAGTAGTCAAGCGGATGGGGAGAAGAAGGCACGAAGAGAGAGAGAGAGAGATGGGGGTATAATAACAAGTGGGTGAGAGGAATGCCGAGAAATGGATTCCACAAGAAGAAAGCTTTTTCAGTTTGGCCTGTTTTCTTCAGCCACCCATAATAAATGAGATTCACATACTGGAAGATTAAATTGTTAATGCTCAAATCCAGCATCAGCGCACAGCTTCATAAAACTATTAAACAATCTCTTCCTTTAATCCTGCCGTAGCATATGCATGCAAGCCACAACACACACTTACATGCTAACCAAAACCAGTGTCATAAACCGTCTACATCCCAACTATAGATTCCTACCTGGTTTATTTTAGTATTACTATTATACTATTTATGTATTAATATTTTGAATCAGCTTTTATTTTTTTGTTTTCGTTTTTTTTTTCGTTCTTTATAATTTTATTTTTTATTTCAGTTTTAGTTTTAGTAAGTTTAATAATTTAACTTAAACATTTATTTTTAGCTATAGTTGTCAAAAAAACAAAAACATTTCTAGTTTTCATTTATTTAGGCTATATTTTTTGTTTATTTTAGCCTTATTTCAGTTTTTAACACTGATTCCTAGTCTATTTGAAGTCATAATTAAATTTAATTCAACATTAATATGTGGCTAGATTACTTGGTTAAATATGCATATCAAACTGCGCAGGCTGCACTGACTGCACTGACACTGCACTGATAATTTCAATCTGACATGAGTGTATAAATATATGCTGTAATCTAATATGGATCCTCTTTGTGTGGACCATCTTTGTGAAGCTTATGTGCCTTTTGTAGCAAATGCAACAGTGAAGGTAAGAAAGAACCTCATAACCATGATTAGATTATGTTATGCATGCAGTACATGAAAGACAAATCTCAATGAATAATATTTTTCTTTCTATGTTATACAAACAGTTCCATAAATAGCAAAAACTGTATCTTGATAAGAGCTTAATAAAATCACACTGGGGCACAGTACAGAAGGAAATTGGGTTTTTCATCATAGATTTAATTCTTGTTGGCTAATCCAACATGAACAAGGCAAATGATGTATAGTCCTTTATATATTTATTAAAGGGGTCATATAATGCGATTTCAAGTTTTCCTTTCTCTTTGGAGTGTTACAAGCTCTTGGTGCATAAAGAAGATCTGTAAAGTTGCAAAGACTAAAGTCTCAAATCCAAAGAGATATTCTTTATAAAAGTTAAGAGTCAACCACACCTACCTAAAACGGCTCATTCTAACACGCCCCCACATATCTACATCACTATGTGGAAATATTAGCATAATGCCGCCCAAACGTGCACGCAAAGAAAGAAGGCGTGGTTTCAGAAACAGCAGTAGTGTTGATGCAGCCATGTCAGGGAGACGCTGTTTGACCTTTCGGGCTTTCGGGTAAAACTAACGACATTATTAACTCTTGATATTTACTTTGAAAGCTGAAGCTCGCGATTATGGTAAGGGGCGTTACATTTCCGACGCATGCTTGTGGTGTTCGGCCAATCACAATGCACTGGGTCAGCTGGCCAATCAGAGCAGACTGCGCTTGTCAAAGGAGGGGGCTTTGTTGAAAACGATGCGTTTGAGAGAGGCGGGGCATAGAGGACCTACAATAATGTACAGTATTTGAAAAATAATGTGTTTTTTTGAACATTAAAGCATGTCAACATATTCTGTTACACCAAATACACAAAATAATGATCTTTAAAATAGCATCATATGACCCCTTTAAGTTAAATCCCTTAGTGAACTTGTGCAGTCTGAGCCACTGCACCACTCTGAACTGAAATAGCAGGATTCAAGCATGATTGTCTGATACATTATGATGTTAAAAACCCTAGGAATCACTTGATGAAAGAAGTTTTCTTACCTGTGTTTATACAGGAAGTTTGGGCAGGATAGTGATGAGACTGTACCTATTTTCAAATAGCTATTGGACTACGTGGGACTTTCAAATTTTAATGAAAGCTTTTTTATGCAAAGAAATAAAAATAAATGAAATTCTGACTTTTTTCTCGCAATTATGAGTTTGTATTTCACAATTCAAAACTGCAAGTTTATATCTTCTTATAAACTCGCAATAAGACTGGATTGGCTTACTTAGATTCCTGTCACAAGGAGAGATTTGATACAAATACCTTATTAGTTCATGAAAGTACAAATGCAATGGTTTTGTCATTATTCATCCTGGCAGAAATGCAGTAACTTATTCTCTCAGCTCTGCCTGATAGATACAAAACTGCTCCTGATATGTTGCAGACGGATCTCACTGAGCAGAAACCGCGTCTGGTCACCAGTAGCCATGTGACCTTATTATCCACCTCCATGATGATGCTCAGCCCAGGCTAACTAAATGACCACCTCTGTATGTCTAAATATAACAACTTGCATTTCCCAGGACAGTGAGAGAATGTAATCTAATACTGGCTGCTCAGAACTCAGTGCTATTGGGTCGATATGTATCCATCACGTGGCAAAAATCGAGACCATGGGAGAACAGCATGATCAGTACTGAACTAATCATCGACATGATGGCAGAACAGTGTGAAATATCTCATCCAAACTCTCTCAAATCACCTTTGAAGCGATATCTAGAGCATATACGTCAAACTTTGCAAAACAAAATTCTCTCTAATTTGAGCTCAGCACTAATTTAATAGAATTCATCAGTGGACAGAAAGGCCTTTTATGCTGAAAAGCTGGAGTGTAATGCTGCTCTGTATTAACTACATGAAAAATGAACAAAATGTTGAATGTACTTGTTTACTTCATAGGCGCAAACACAAGTCTGCATCTTAAAGCATTTTCCATCAGTGCTACAATATGAAAACATTCCATTCATTATGAAGGTCAGTTTTCTATGTTCATAGTCTTATTTCTGCTTATGCTCTTCAGTTGTCTGGCATTAAGTCTCCTTTTCTCTCTCTCTATCTCTTGTTCAGTCTTCTACCTGTAACAGGAGTTATTGTGGTTGACCAAATGGATCATCTGACTGTGGTTTCTGTAAGGGTGCGATGAAGCAACTGGCATCCTAATGCCCCTAGGTTCAGGGCAGCCTGAGAACTGCTTTGAGAATGGGATTCATGGAAAAATCCCGTCTGTGATCATACCACATACCACATCCCTGCTGTCACTGAGGAGAAAGGGTGAGGCTTGCAACAAAAGTACCAAATTTTGTATTGCATAGTGCCACTGGCAGACCTTTGAAGACACTTAAAAACAATGACTGTGTTCTAGGTATCTATGGTGACACTCACATGTTTTCAAACATAGAGCCTTGATTTAGGACTAAAGGCTAAAACTTTGGACATAGTAATTTCATTCATTCAGTGTTATTTCTTTTGAAACAATATTGTACTCCATTTCAAAGTATTCATCATTCAAAATTTCATGAATTAACTTAAAATGTATAATTACATGTGATACATGTTTATACAGTATGTCTATATAAATACATAAAGTACAAATGTTTTTATTCATTATACATGAATTATGTTATTATACATCACAGTGTATTATAATAAAAATTGGTTTTATATGAAATACCACTGCCCTAAAAATATTGTGTATATATAGACATACACAAATACATTTATATGTCCCAATAAATAAATAAATAAGCAATAAGTAACATAGAGCATGTAGCTATTGCTGTTTAAAACTTTATTTTAAAACCTTGCAGTTTTTCGCTCTCTCACTCTCTCTTTCTCACATACACACACACACACACACACACACACACGGTTTTAACTCATTGAGAAAACTTTTTTATTCAGTTAACGCTTTTGAAGAGATTTTTAACAGAGTTAAGCCAAATACAGTTTTGGAGTTTTTAGCAAAAATAAATCATGAAAAATGAACAAAATGTTGAATGTACTTGTTTACTTCATAGGCGCAAACACAAGTCTGCATCTTAAAGCATTTTCCATCAGTGCTACAATATGAAAACATTCCATTCATTATGAAGGTCAGTTTTCTATGTTCATAGTCTTATTTCTGCTTATGCTCTTCAGTTGTCTGGCATTAAGTCTCCTTTTCTCTCTCTCTATCTCTTGTTCAGTCACCTGTAACAGGAGTTATTGTGGTTGACCAAATGGATCATCTGACTGTGGTTTCTGTAAGGGTGCAATGAAGCAACTGGCATCCTAATGCCCCTAGGTTCAGGGCAGCCTGAGAACTGCTTTGAGAATGGGATTCAGGGAAAAATCCCGTCTGTGATCATACCACATACCACATCCCTGCTGTCACTGAGGAGAAAGGGTGAGGCTTGCAACAAAAGTACCAAATTTTGTATTGCATAGTGCCACTGGCAGACCTTTGAAGACACTTAAAAACAATGACTGTGTTCTAGGTATCTATGGTGACACTCACATGTTTTCAAACATAGAGCCTTGATTTAGGACTAAAGGCTAAAACTTTGGACATAGTAATTTCATTCATTCAGTGTTATTTCTTTTGAAACAATATTGTACTCCATTTCAAAGTATTCATCATTAAAAATTTCATGAATTAACTTAAAATGTATAATTACATGTTGTGATACATGTTTATACAGTATGTCTATATAAATACATAAAGTACAAATGTTTTTATTCATTATACATGAATTATGTTATTATACATCACAGTGTATTATAATAAAAATTGGTTTTATATGAAATACCACTGCCCTAAAAATATTGTGTATATATAGACATACACAAATACATTTATATGTCCCAATAAATAAATAAATAAGCAATAAGTAACATAGAGCATGTAGCTATTGCTGTTTAAAACTTTATTTTAAAACCTTGCAGTTTTTCGCTCTCTCACTCTCTCTTTCTCACATACACACACACACACACACACACACACACGGTTTTAACTCATTGAGAAAACTTTTTTATTCAGTTAACGCTTTTGAAGAGATTTTTAACAGAGTTAAGCCAAATACAGTTTTGGAGTTTTTAGCAAAAA